TTCCTCTGAGCTGTCTCTGACTTCCATGCTACATGACAGTGTTCCCAGTGCTTGGGGATGAGCACTTCTGCACTGTAATCTTTGGCCCAGGTCTCCTCTGAGACCCATGCAGTGCTCTGAGACACTGTTAGCAGTTGCTGGGGTTTCAGCACTGCCAGATTCCTATGATCCCCAAGAGGTGTGGAGGCCAAGCATGATCTAATTGTTGTTCATGATCTGTCAACTAAGCTCTGAACCAATGATCAACCAGACTGAACTGATCTCCTTCAAACAAGAACCCATGGGCAAAAAAGCTGTACCTGTGGTATGGAGAAAAAAAAGTGAGGACCTGAACACAAAACAGAGCTGTAGGCAGTGTAGACACACGCAGAGGGAGCTCACTGGGAGCACAGCAGTGCCCCACCACCCTCCAGAGATATGTGTTCAAGCCCTCCTTCCTGGACATCCCAGCTATGGCTCTTACCTCCCTGATGAGCATTGCCCGGGACTGCCTGGGCAAGTAGGCCTCAGTTTCCATGGAGAGGCTCAGTTTGAGACCTGAAGCTTGTTTCAGTGTAGGGCCTGGGATTTAGACCAACCTACTGACCCAAGAAGAAGAACCACTGTCTGCCAGGAAGGAAAATCCCTGTCCTCTTGAGTCATGTTTAGGTAACCTGTTTCATTCCCCTTGAAGTCCATCTAGAACCTGATGGCAGGTGCTAATAACTTAATTGGGATTTAGTATCATAGAACAGAATCATAGAATCACTAGGGTTGGAAAAGACCTCTGAGATATCTAGTCCAACTGTCCACCTATCACCAATTTCGCCCACTTAAACCATGTCCCTAAGTACCACATCTACACCCAGCATCATCTCCTGATGATGACTGTCCTTCTGAGGAAGCCTTTTTTATGCAGCTATCAGCTGTCACATTGAAGCAAGGTCAGGGCAGCCCCTGGGGCTTTTCACTGAGGCAAGCAGGGCTGGCCTGAGCATGTAACGCAGGTGGCCAACTGGCTTCATGTATTTCACATTATTCTTTTGCCTTGGGGAAAGGTCATGCACCACAAGGACTTGATTACTGTGATTCTGTTTGAACTGTTCACTATCTGATGGGTCTTACTCTCCTTGGCCTCTTCTAAGAGCTGGTAATCCTCTCCCCCCAATAACACCTTTATCTAGTCCTCTTTTTCCCTTTCCTAGTATTGGTGTCACCCTGCTCTGTACATGTCTCTTTCAGCCTCCTCTTTTCTCTCTGATTATGTCCTGGCCATCTCCCTGTGCCTCGACCCAGATTTCCTTGCTGCCTTCCCTCTCTGCAGCTCATCACAACTGGCATGTCCCAACAGGCTGGCAACATTTGCAAAATGAAAATGTCTTCTACCACATTTTTCAGTTTTGCCACCAGTCTGACAGCCAAGAATATGAAGCTGCTTCTGCTGCCCCGTGTGTGCTCGGTGACCTGAAGGCAACCTAGCCAAGGCTCTCCTGAGCAGTTCCCAAGCCATTCTTGCTCTCATGTAAGTGTTCTTAAAACAATGATCTGATCCTAATTGGCTGGAGAAGTTCAGCCTTGAGACTGATGTTTGGCCCAACCTTTTTCCTTTCTTTCAGGCTTTGCTGCTCCAGGAAGAAAGGGCAATTCTTGGATCACCATAGCCTGCTTGACTTCTCCAATCTCAAATTATTCTGCTTTTGACATAGGCAGCAGGCTAGCAGCTGGCACTTGTGAGAGCTGAGGAGGTGAGTTCATGGGAAAAGGACAGCCACCAGTTTCAGTGCTTGGGGACCAGCTGGTGTGTCATTGGGATCTCAAAGGCTTTTTGCTGTAGGTGCACAGGGGCTGTCCTAGGAAGCAGGGGCCTGGCTGAGTGTGGTCTTTCTGGGAGCACCTGAGCTGCTTATCTGCTGTCCTGGCTTAGTGCTGGGTTCCTGGCTGAAGAGATATGCTCAACCCATGTGCTCACCCAAGCCCTGCCTTGTACCAAGAGCCTTCTTAATGACAGGCAGGACTTTTTGGTTGTGCTTTCCCTCCTGTTGCCTTGAGCTCAGTGGTCATCTTTTTAGATTGTATCTCCTATCTCCCCATTTTTAGATTTATCTCAGATATTACTGCAGTTCTCTTTGGGATCCAGCCTAGCCAAAATCATCAGTGTGACAAACTTGATTTTCTAGTCGCACCCATTGCCTTGATCTCAGGGTGGGTCATAAGGATATAGAGCATTTTGCAGCTGATTTAATTTTTGCAGGGATTTGAGTTCTCTGGAAAAACTCCCTGGAGAGATGCTCAGCTTAATCGTGATTAAGGCCAACAAAAAATCTGGTAGCTGATCCTCTGAGTGAAGAGGGGCTGCATTTGATCAGTAGATGAACTTGGGGCGTCTACTGACAATGTGTAGGGTTTTCTTAGGCCTCATTTAGTTTGTTTTAACTGCCTGGGCTGTACTATGTTGGGCAGAGCTGCTGGGTGACACACTGCTATTCATGAGGATGCCTTTATCTGGAGAAGCCTCAATCTGTTCCACAAGGTGTCATGGTTTTCTCTTTAATATCCTAGGGATTGTTTTCAGGACAACAGGAAAGAAGAGACTGACAATACAGATGGAATGGAAGAAAATGACAAGTGATTAAACAGCTGTAGATGAATGGAGATGCAGCTTAAGGGATTGACTGTCGCCTGCTGAGTGGAGAGATAGAAGGAAAGATTGCGTTCATGTGCACCAGGATTGCAAATCCCACCCTCCCCCAGCAGATCTTAAATTGTGTTTGTTACTTATTTTGAGCCTTCCCATATATAGACCTTCACACAGCTCTGTACTGCACGTTTATAGCCCCAGCTACTATTTCTACCTCCCAGAACCTCTGATCTTGTTTTCTGGGCAGAGATCCTACAAAATAAAACTTACGCGGTCAAACAAGCTGCTTGCTGTGCCAGTGTTTTCTTTGGCTCTCGTGTCTGTGCTGCATTCTTGTATGTGCATGACTATATGTTAACATACACAGATGAGGGATAGTTTGCAGGTAGCAGTGTGGATAAGAAATGCATCGACCAGTGTGTGCCTCCGAAGATGTAGTAATTTGGGGTCTTTCTTGAAACATCACCTTATAACAGCGGCTGGAAAGTTTTCTAGGTGCTGCAGGTGCATGGCGATAGAGGCTGGCCTGGCTGGGGCAGGTCTGCTGCACCCAGCAGCACTCAGTGCAGGGATGGGTGACCCCTGAGCGTCCCCCTGTCCCCCGCTAGGTGGCACTGGGAGCCCTGCTATAGTGTCCTTGCCCCCAGCCACACAGCCTGGCCTCGCCCTGCGCCCCGCCTCTGCCAGCACAGTCTCCTGGACGGGGAGCACTGCGCAGGGAGGGGGACGGGACAGGGAGGCTGTGTGGAGTTCTCCAGCCCTGTCCACTGGAGTCTCGTGTGTCACACCTGCCCTCTGCCATGGGGTACTTCCCACGAGGTGCACCAGAAATCTGTGCCAGAGCCCTGGCCCTGCCACGCTCGGAGTCATTGTACTGCATGGGTCTCACTGGGAGGCAGTGTGCTGTTGGTGTCTGGATGGAGGTGACCACATCGCATGAGTTCTGCCGGGAGTCACAGTATTGTCCCACTGGCACTGCACTGGGGCATCTGGTGTCCTGGTGTGTCACGTGCTGCTACGCTGTCTGTATCAGTCTGAGCAGAAGTGAAGTGGTTCTCAGCGTACATGGCTCTTCTGCTGAGCTGGAGCCTTGGGTCTCCATCTGTGCTAGTTTATGGTTTAGAATAAGCAGAAAGGGAATGGTTATGTTAACTTCAGCCTCTCTTGTTTTCTTTGCCCAATGCAGTTTGCTTTTAGCCACAAAGCTGTAATATTCACTTTTGATTCTAGCTAGACCTGGGAGGAACAACCTTCTGTTGTCCTTGGAGTGACTGCGGGAGCTGTAATACCCATCTGAGCTGCAGCTGTTCTGTTGTGTAGCTGTTTTTGGTTCTCGTACTTGCTTTTATTTGGTCAGTTGGTGCCAATTGCAGTGTTTTTGGTTCTTGTACTTGCTTTTATTTGGTCAGCTAGTGCCAATTGCAGAGTGGACTTGTGATGACCCTGCTCAGGTGACCAAGACTGCCGGGTGCTTTTACCCTGAGGTCACTCTCAGCTCAGGCCAGATTTGAACTGAAGACTGGTAAAGCCCCACAAATCCTGTTAGCAGCTCTTGAGCTGGATGAGACTTGTTCTTGCAGAGCAGTAGACTCCAAGAGCAGCTCAGGTAGGTTCAGTTTGGCCAAAGGGGTGAGAGAAAGCCTGCAAAAGGAGGAGAGTTAACTTCATTGGGTCTTGTGTGAAAATGCTGTCTGTTGAGCCTAAAACCAAGTGTTGCATCACAGCTGTGAGCGAGGGCAGGCTGCCTAACTGCTCAGGCTGTCACTAGAGGGAGCAGCGTGTAGTTTTTTTCTCATTTTGTGAAAAGCAACATGATGCGGTGACACAGCTGGGAGAGTGGTTTGGCAGGACGAGTTTGGGAGAGATGCTGCAGTCTCTTCAGCTTCATAAGGACAGATGTTTCTCTAGGTGAAAGGAAACCTCTCATCCAGCTCAGCTAGGATTTCGTGGGGGTGAAGGAGGTGAACATTCCTACGGTCATCTTGCTAAGTGAGAATTGTTTTCTTGTCTCTCCTTTTGGGTATTAGAAGTGCAAGGTTTTGAAAGGAGCCAGGGCCCTGACAAGTGCAAGTTCTGAGTGCTTTGAGGACAGAGAATGCAATGAGAAAGATGGTGAACTCAGTTGGCTCTGCTGCTTCTGCAAATGAACCAGGTTTGCTCTGCAAGGAGCATGACTTCACATACGTAGAGATCTGCTGGAGATCTTGAAGAACTCTCTGTTAGCCAGCTTCTGGTGCCCCTCCTGCTTACACTGACATACTAAGTTGCATTTCTGTGCCATGCTGTGCTGCAGTAGGCACATTCTGAGGTACCCCTGTGGGCCTAGAATCTAAACACAAGATGGGGAACAGGGGAATAGAGACAATGCAAGGAAACAAAAAGACCATAATGGTATCCTGCCTTGTCATGAATTGGATAATTCCCCCATGACTAGTTGATGGGCAGTGGATTGCTCAGTGGGAGGAAAGGGGTCTGGAGTCAGTCCTGTGAACTTTGTTCTCTCATTTGCAAAATGATGTTGTGAACATCTGGCTCACACATGGAGCGTGACACTTGGCTTGGAGTCTTATAAATGTTTTCAGATCCTTGAATGGCTGTTGCTGAAATGTGAAGGATCATCATTAATGAAATATGCAATAACACTGACGGAGCATTTGTGTTTGCTGCAATTTGTAACTATGTTCTAACACTTGTTAACGAATGCTATTGTGGGCTGCAGTGTGACCAAGGATAAACTTGTGACTTGAGGATAAACATGACCAAGTGTTTGTTCCTGGGTTGTGCTACTATTTATCACTGCAGGTGTTGAAACACATCATTTTGTGCAGCAAGGCTTTAAATGGGTGAATAGGGTAAGAGAGGAGACTTAGCTACTGCTCCTTCCTTTGTGTTTTTTTTCCATCTGCTCTGCTTACATGGAATACAGGCAAATGCCACAATTGGTTGATCAAAGATCTACTGTGTTGGAGAGCTGAATATCCATATGACTTTAGAAGAATCTTGTCGGTTGGCTGGGCATTGGCTTTAGACAGTGCAGCTCGTGGTAGTGAAGGTATACCCATCAAGAGGCCTGAAGAAGAAGCAAATGTTTACACATAAGCTGAAGTTGAAGGAATAGAGCTAAGATTAGTCAAATAAAGGCAGTGGGAAGCTGGCATGGATGAGTAGGGGGCCCCTAAGTAAACTTAGCATAAAAGTGAAGTGTAGAAGCAAGACATGCAGAAGCGGGTGACCCAGGAGCTGCTGGGCTAGGATTAGAAAAGCCAAGGCTGACCTTGAGTTGAATATGGTATGAAATGTGAAGTGTGACCAGAAAGGATTGTGTAAGTGCATATACAGAAAAAGGAAGACGAGAGAAAATGCTAACTAGCTGCTGAATGTTGCTGGTGACCTGCTGACAAATTGCCTGAAAAACACTGAGATAGCCATTGCCTTCATTGCTTGAGTCTTTACCAGTAAGACCAGCCTTCAGCAATCCAAAGCCACTAAGACCAGGGAGAAGACTTGAGCAAGGAAGACCTACCCAACAGTTAGGGATCAGCTAAGTCCCACAAAGTTCCACAAATGCTAAAAAAATGGTCCATTTTTCATACAAAGAGACGTTGAGGAGGTGGTTCTGTTCAGCCTGGAGAAGAAAAGCCACAAGTGGATTTTATCTGTATGTATAAATACCTGATGGCAGGTTAATGAAGGAGAGCGAGGCAGCGCTTCTCAGTAATGCCTCGTGACAGGGCAAGAGGTGATGGGCTCAAAATGAAACACCATTCCCTCTGAACATCAGGAAGCACTTCTCTACTATGTGACAGTACTGTGTGAGTGATCAAGTACTGGCAGAGATTGCCCAGACAGGTTGTGAAGTCTCCGTCCTTGGAGACTGCCAAAAGACAACAGCTATGTCCTGGGCCACTGGTTGTGTTTGGCTGTGCTTTGAGCAGGGGATTTAGACCAGATGATATCAGTAAGTCCCTTCCAATCTCAATGATTCTGTGATTCTGTTGTTCCATTGTGAGGTCCCTACTCCCTCATAAGTTGGAATGGGCTCATGAGCAGGCTCTGTTCTGCCATACCTTCTCAAGCCTTCTTGCAACTTCTCTGCATGTGGAGCTGACTGTACTGCTGCAATCTGGTATGTTGTGTTCACATTGACTCAGTTGTTTCTTATTTATTTTCTGACTGCATCTCCCAAGTTCTTATGATTGGTTTGAATCCTGAACTTAGGGCTGCTTGACTTCCTCTGGAAACCAAAACCCAGAAACTGACTTACTGATCAGGTACATCTCATTGGAAAACTTTCATATACAAAAATACTCCTTATTCTGCTCTTGCCTTAGCTGAGGGTTAAATCTTATCCTCTTGTAATTGCTGTATTGCATCAGCTACTGCTTTTTTCTTACTCTGGTCTTTGTGACCTTCAGGATGTAACCGAGAAAGCTGATGGTGCCTTGGAGCTTTGGAGCTGTGAGCAGTGGACATGCCACCTCTCTTGCTCACAACTGATAGGCTTAAAACAATTTATTGACCTGACTCTTCCTCCAAATCTGAGTGTCTCAGTTTTTCAGCTTTGTCTCTTTGTGCTTGTGAGGTGGATGTTAAAGCTCTAGCCTGTTGTAATCTAACCTGATGTCAATTCCTCTTTCTGAACTCCACTAAGACCTTATAATTCATCTGTACTGATTCCTTCCTGTTCCTCCTGCCTTTCCCTCTGCGGCAAGGGAGCTTGCTCAAGGCTTGCTTCTTGAACAAGCTGGCAGATACATTACTGCTCTTTTTTGTTCCGTATTTCAGCCTTCCATGTGACATTCAATCTGAAGCTCAGAGTTTACAGTGAGTTGCCTTTCAGAAAGCAGCGTTTCTGTTTTCCCTTTAGGGTAAGTCACCCTCATCCCCGTTACTTCTACATTTGTGTTCTCTGGTCCTCCACACTGAGTCACTCCTGAGAGTAAGCCTGCAGTGTTCCTGTCCCAGCAAACTGTCCTCCGTGTGTTTCACTTTGCCCTTGTGTTTTCCCAAAGTTGCTACTCTGCACTGCTAAGACTTTCTGAAGGTCTGATTTTTCCACTCTCCCTGGACCTTGCAGCCAGTGTCTGTGTCCTTGAAGTACGTGAACAGTATCACTTGTCCTTCCAGAACAGGCTGCTATCTTTCCAAACTCAATTTCGGTTCTCACAGCAAATCTGTTGCACTTAGTAAATCATACTAGACAGTATTTTAAGTTAGCATCTCCAGGGTATTAGGCAAAACTTATGCAAGATCCTTTTGCTTGTCTTGTGGCTACTGTGACTCCTCTGTTATCCTCTCCTGGTTACTATTGTCTGGACCCACTGTACTTTTATTGTCCTTCTGCTACAGCCAGCCCTGCAAAGAGAGCAGGCTGGTCTTAGGAAAGAAGTTTCTTCAACTGTTTTATTCTCTCTTACTGTCATATATGTCTCATATTGGATTACATGACACTTGACATGGAAATGTCTAGATCTTGTAACATGAGTAACTTTTACTCCTAGGTGGTGTGGAAGTGCTGTGTTGAAAAGTTTTCACCAGGACATGCTTCTAAAGCATTTTTTTCTGCCTTAACATTTTTTTTCTTCAGTCAGTATAATTGATATCAGGCTGAAATGAAATGGTCGGGCAGCTCTGTGGGTTTAGCAAATACAATACGTTGCAAATATTAGTGTATCATAAAGGCTGCTTTATTATATGCAGAATGGGTAAGGGTAATCTTTTATTGAAGCGCTGGATAGAATTTTTCTCTTCTTTCCTTTCTGTATAGTTTCCTTTGAAAGCCTTGTGATGTTGAGCTGAGCCAGACCAGAGTGTACTATGAGAGGTTCCTCATCGTTCTAGGGCATCAAATACTTTACATCTTGGGTAGACTGAAGCAGAGACTGAAATAGTGCTGGGAACCCCTGTGCTACCAGGATGCTGCTATTGGAATATTCTGTGTGCCAGCAACTTGCCTTGGAAGTCTGATCACCATTAGTACAGAAACTGAGAAACAGGAGCAGGAGCTGATTGTCCTAAGGACTTACAGCTTCCTGCCAGTGCCTCGTTTTTGCAAGCAGGCTTCACTTGCCTAGAGGTTCTTCCATAGATCTTGTTTGCTTGCTGTGAGTTTTTTTCATTATCATTTAATAGCTTTCTCCTTTTCCTTCGTACTCCAAACGAATTTTGAAGTGTGCCCATTTTGATAGCTGGGATTACTGGATGCAAAAGATTTTCTCTTATTCTGTTGGAGCATTTTCCCCCTTAACCTCTTCCTTCATGCTTGTATCGAAAGCTTCTGAACTTGTTGCTTTCAGTCCTTCACTTGGTTTGGCTTTTGTGTGGCATCCTGTTCCATGTGAAGGTGCTAAGCCTGTGGAAATGCAGTCCTCTGGTTCCATAGGGCAGGGGCTGCTGAATCTGACCTTGAACTAACTTTAATATAATGAGAATTTCTGTCCTTTTTTTACTTGCTCTTCCTCTGAAGGATCCAGTTACTTTCAGTGCCACTTTGACTGCATACAGCCACTAACTTCCTGGGTATGAGATCATTTAATGATGAAAACAGATGTATAAAATAGGGTTAGTACTTTAGTGGTAGTGTAAACAATGGAGACTTATTTGGCTCTTAAGACTGTCAAACAGGAGATATAAAGCACTATTCTTCCACAAGCCATAGAAGTCTACAGAAATAACTGGTCAGGGACAAAGAGAAGGCTGTAGAGGAGGCTACTTCTGAGGAGAACAGCCCGCTGGCTGCCTGCTCAGCCCAGGCTGGCACAGCAAAAGGATGGACGCTTCCCTGTTTGCCTGCAGCACTCTCCACTGTGCACTCCAGGCAGATGCTCATTGCAGCATGTCCTGAATTTGAAGGGTTAATATAACAATGTGAGCTATTCCAAATTAGTATGCATGATAATACAGCTAGCTCTTCTGCTGACATATATAATCATAGACCTGAGATCAGGGCACCTTCCCTTCAGTCAGACGTGGTGATTGCTGGTACCAGTCACAGGTTATAAACTAATTTTGGCAGTTGGCCATAAAACTGCTCCTTTCAGTGAGACACAGAGGCGTCTGGTGTCAGCCTGACACAAACCATTTGACCAGAGAAAGGCCTCTCTCCTGGTGGGATTGCAGAAGGGCTGATGCTGTTAGCGAAGGTAGAAGTATAGAGAGAGGGGCTCATAACCCTGCTCTAATAAATATTAAATGCCTGTTATCAGGCCTGATGTTTGCTTTGCAGCCCCAGCTTTTTAGCCTGCTTTGGTGGTTATCCAGTGAAGGCAACAGGTTTATCAGCAAGTTCAAGCGTGTTTGGACTGCAAGGTCTCTCCTGGTGTCTGGCACGTGAAATTATCCTAATCTGCCGTTAATATCCCTCTCTGTACTCTGGTTGCCATTACACACTATCTCTGCCCTGCACATTTGCTCACTAGCGGCTTTAATCCCCTCTCCATCTCTATAAACACTACAACATACTCATTTTTCCCCCATCAATGCAGACATTTGGCAGGATTCCAGAGCCTGCAGGATCAAATGGCAGAGGAGACTGCGGCTGCTTTTCTGGGGAGCAGGGTAGGCCATGGTTATATGATGAAGGGCAATCCAGAAATGAGCGTGGTTGTTTGGTTGTTGTTAGTCCCTGTGCTGCCCAGAATGCCATTCCATGCCAGTGGCTGACTGTGCCAGCCTGAAGGCTCGGTGTGCCTACAGGAACTCTTAGACCAGAAGGTGGTAGAGCCTGGGCATGGGGCACCGGGATACCAGAGGTGTGGGATCTCCATCATTGGAGTTCTCCTAGACTTGAATCAGACAAAGGCGATACGGTCTAGTGTTGGCGATGGTCTGATCTTGTGCTTGAAGAAGGCTCTTTCAAAGAGCCTTCCAACCAACACTTCTGGAGTACTCTATTTCTTTTGCAAAATGCATCTTCTACTGAATCTCCATCTTGTCTCCTCCTGCTTTTGCTTTCTCCCATTGTTCATTCATATTCAAAATAAAATTCCCCCATCTGTTTTCCACCTTGATTTCCTATCGACTTCAGTTGCTTTTTGGACTCTCAAGCCTTAACCGCTGGCTATAACATGTAGCTTTCTGTGTTACTGCAACTTGTGTTGATAGGGCAAGTGGAAACATTTCCAAACTAGGGGAGGGGAGATTTAGTTTGGACATAAGGAAGACATTTTTTACAATAAGGGCGATGAGGCACTGGCAGAGGGTAGTGGATGGTGGATTTCCTGTCTCTTAAGACTTGCAACATGAGGCTGGACAGAGCTCTGAGCACCTCGTGGAGCCGTGGGTGTCCCTGTTCATTGCAGGGGAATTGGACAAGATGACCTTTGGGCGTCCCTTCCTAACGGTTCTATGATTCTGTGATTTTAATTTGAGTAGTGGGCACTGGAGATAAAAGAAAGCCGCTGAAATGATAAGGAATCTGAAATTAAAAGGGCAGTTGTAACAACCTTCTCTACTCCAAAGGACTCTTTTGGTCCCTGAATCACCATGTGTTCAGAGGATCAACATCTTGATATCTTGGCTTTCAAAAGATCAGTGTGCACATGTCTCTGTTTACTGAGCTGTGTACTTCCAAGGATTTCAGTTTCATTTCTCATATCCCAGTCAAGGATTAAGAACATGGTGGTAATTGCTGTTGGTCTGTGTCATTTCAGCAGCTTCATAAAAAGAAGCTAGGTGAAAAAAGATCATATTATTGACTTTTTTTTTCTTTTTTTTCTTTTTTTTTTTTCCTTCTCACTCCTTGGCATGAGAAGCCAAAACAGTCCAGTCTGGAAAGTAGCAATGTGTTTTATAAAAAAAACCAAAAAACCAAAAAACAAAACAAAAAAACAAAAAGCAAAACAAAAACCCAAAGCTAAACAGAACCCCACCAAAGCCAACAGGTTGTGAGGGAAGCTTCATGTTTGAACGCGATTGTGCTTGTCTGTAGTAGGGCACCTGGAAAGTATTTTTTTGTTTTGTTTTCCCTTCTTCCTTCTGGAAAGGTAGATGACATTTTTCTTTCTAGCTTGGGGTGTGTAGCTCTTGGAAGGTTTGGGAGATCTTGCTTTCTGCTGCTAATGCAGTAGTGGTGAGTCGTGGCCATTTCAGCCTAGAGCTGCTGGATGTGGCTCCTAGGACTCTGCA